CATAGTAAGGTAAGGGGACTTCCCTGATGCTCAATCCTGATCAGAGACGGTGCTAGGATCGAGGTGACACGCTTGTCCTAGTGCCTGGAGCCATCCCATGATCATTTTCTTCTGACTTGGCCTATTGAGTAGTCAAATTGTCAACTTTAGCGCCCAGGTCAGTGATAGAAGTGTAGAGACTAGCCATTTCTTGCTCCAGGGCTATCATATGAGTACTTCGGCGGGCCTGTGATGGGCCCGCCTCATCAGCTCTCGGCGGTGGTGGAACATCAGCATCCTCATCAGCTCCATCATCATCCTCAACTATCACTACCAGCTCTCTCCCAACTGTGATCTTGCTAGCCCAGAATGGGGCTTTCAATGGCAATTTACCATCTATTTTGGGATTTTCAGGGACTCGTGCAGCACGGCACAGCTTGGTAACCAGAGAGGGGAAGTAAAATTCTTTGAGCACCTCTGGTGCGCGAACGAACATCTCATCATGGAGGAGCTTGGTGACATCAAAATCCTGGTGGGTCATAAAACGGTAGATAGCTGCTACTCGTGGCCCATTGACATCAGTAGTGTTGCTGGAGGGTAGCAAGCAGTTGTTGTTAATTGTAAGCCAACACTTAGCCTCCCAATTGAGAGACTGTGAGTTCAATGTGATCCGGTGCTTTATCCATATATGCTCCCTGTCAGGCACACATATTGCTTCAAGGATTGGTGCCCACCAAATAGTTAGGCGATGATAAGCAATGTAAGTATCTCTATCCCCCGTGAATACTGGCAGCCGGTACACTCAGCGGATGGCCTCGAGGGATGCATTTACCCAGGTTTTGCGTACTGTGACCACCCTATTCTCATGTTCTGGGCAGTTAGCATAGAACTCCCTAACCATCTGGACATTCGCCTCCTCCGTTCATCAAAGAAGATGTCCAGCTGACACCTCCTCAACTCATTAAAGATATTTGGGCATTCCACTTGCAAGGCTTGCCGGGCAATATGCACTTCCGGTAACAATTTCTTGGATGCCTTAGCATTATACCTGTCCTCAGCTGGTTTGGAGACAAACCTAGCGCGGTCAAACTGTTCCACACTAGCTTGACCCCGAGCTTTGGAAGAACTGCCCGGTCCACTAGCGGAGGACCCTATGGTGCGTCTCTTCCTGGATGGATTCAATGTACCTGCCAACAGCAGAGTAACCTATTAGTGAGGGTTTGAGTTGTGTGAACCCAGGGTGGTTACTTAGAATTCACCACTATCAAGGTCACATTATCCCTTAGGACTCCGTTAGAGCAATTCCACAAACACCTAGTGAGCAGGGCACTATCCTAATGCATCTAGCCCCATGGAAACATTAATTCTTCCCCCAAATCAATAATTTGTACTTCACCATTCCACCCCCACAACAATTAGTCTTACACACACAAGCACACACTTCTATATAACATTGTGCACACACTTATCTACAATATTGTGCACATAATCCATTAAAAAGCAGAAAAGAAACTTAAAAAGAAAAAATCTACTAGAAATACTACAGAATTAAAGCACTGAACTAACATAAAACCAAAACAAAAATACAAGAGAAGAGAGAGAGAAGCTTGCCATACCTGGATGTAGGAGAGGGTGAGAGGAATGGAGGTTGGGGGAAATGGGTTTATGTGTGAGAGAGGTGAAGAAAAAGAAGAAGAAGAAGAGAGGAGAGAGGCGTTAGGGTTAGAGAGAGAGAGAAGATGTGTAAGGAAAGGGGGGTGGTCTTTTAATTTTATTAGTTGGGGGGGGGGATTAGAAAAGAAAAGAAACTAAATAAAAAAAGAATTTAAATCTAACTTACCTGGGCGATAGAACGTCGCATCTCACAGCGGTCGACCGCGGTCCCACCGTGGCCGCGGTGAGTGAAAGAGCTCGAGGCATAATACTTACGTTTTACCGCGGTCGTACTGCGGTCGTAGTGGATCACGTAAGCCTGAGGCAGAATACTCCTCTTTTGCCGTGGTCGAGCCGCGGTCGCGGTCACAATGATTTTTTTTCATAAGAAGGTTACATAAGAAAACAAAAACAACAACATTCATGGGTTGCCTCCCACACAGCGCCTAATTTAATGTCGCGGTACGATACATGCGTTGATCATCACTCCTTATTCGCGTACTGGGGCTCTTCTAAAGTTATTATCTCTCTATCCCCTTTTTCTTCGGCCATTCCAAAGTAATGTTTCAACCTTTGCCCATTCACTGTGAACTTGTTTGTCCCATCTTCTGATTCAATCTCTACAGCTCCACTTAAGAACATCTGCACCACTCTGAAGGGTCCTGACCATCGGGACTTTAACTTACCCGGAAACAATCTCAATCTCGAGTTATATAACAATACTATATCTTTGGATTTGAAGTTCCGATCCAAGTTGTGCTTATCATGCATTAGTTTCATCCTTTCTTTGTAAAATCTAGCACTCTCAAATGCCTGGAACCTGAATTCCTCGAGCTCATGTAACCCAGTGATCCTGCTGGTGCCTGCTGTCTCCATATCCAAATTCAATTTCCGCAATGCCCAAAGTTCTTTATGTTCGAGCTCTACCGGAAGGTGGCATGCCTTTCCAAATACCAAATTGTATGGTGACATACCAATTGGAATTTTGAATGTTGTGCGGTACGCCCACAATGCATCATCCAGCTTCTTCGCCCGATCGGTCCTTGTTGCATTAACTGTATTTGTAAGGACACTTTTAATTTCCCTATTTGACACTTCAACTTGCCCGCTCGACTGTGGGTGATAAGGGGTGGTCACTTTATGATGAATTCCGTACTTTTGCAACAACCGTGCGAACACTCTATTGCAAAAATGGGTTCCACCATCACTGATTATAGCACTCGGGGTGCCAAAATGTGTGAAGATGTTTTTCTTTAAAAAGCCAATTACCCCTTTTGCACCATTGGTTGGGAGAGCCACCGCTTCAACCCACTTGGAGACATAGTCAACCGCTACCAATATATATTTGTTACCATACGAGCAGACAAACGGCCCCATAAGTTGATCCCCCACATGTGAAAAACCTCCACCTCTTGAATTGTGGTCATTGGCATCTCGTGACGGCGAGATATATTGCCTGTCCTTTGGCATTCATCGCAACTTTTGACCCAAGCGTGGGCATCCTTGAAAAGAGTTGGCCAATACAAACCCGACTCCAACAACTTAGCTGCTGTCCAAATTCCTCCAAAGTGTCCACCATATGGTGAAGCATGGCAAGCCTGCAAAACAGAATGTTGATCTTTCTTGGGGATACACCTCCAGATCATGCTATCTACACATATTTTAAATAGTAGAGGTTCATCCCAATAATAAGACCGACAATCGCGAAAGAACTTTTTCTTTTGAATTGAAGAAAGTTCATAAGGTACAATACCGCTTGCTAAATAATTAGCAATATCATCATACCACGGCGTCTCCTCCATTGTCACTGCTAGTAACTGTTGATCCGGGAATGTCTCTGTTATATCCTAAACCTCTACCTTCCTTTCAGCTCCTTCCAACCTTGAGAGGTGATCAGCTACTTGGTTCTCTATCTTTTTTCTGTCATGGATCTCCAGATCGAATTCTTGTAGTAAAAGAACCCAGCAAATCAAGTGTGGCTTTGACTTCTTTTTTTCTATCAAGTACCTAATTGTTGCATGGTCAGTATAAATAATAACTTTTGAACCAATCAAGTATGACCTGAATTTATCGAATGCAAAAACAACAGCCAACATCTCTTTTTCTGTCATGGTGTAATTGAGTTGTGCACCGCTTAGCATTCTACTTGCATAGTAAATTGGGTGCATCAGTTTATCCTTTCGCTGCCCCAAGACTGCTCCTATATCATAGTCACTTATATCGCATATGAGCTCGAATGGTTGCTCCTAGTTGGGTGAAACAATGATGGGTGCAGTCATCAATCTCTCTTTCAGCTCCTCAAATGACAACCTACAATCATTAGAAAACACAAAGGGCTGATCCTTTTCAAGGAGTTTACATAAAGGGTTATCAATCTTAGAGAAATCTTTATGAATCACCTGTAGAACCCCGTGTGCCCAAGGAAACTTCTCACTGCCTTAACTGAAGTAGGTGGTGGCAACTTCTCGATCACGTCAACCTTAGCATGGTCAACCTCGATTCATTTGCTGGACAGTCGATGCCCCAAGGCTATCCGTTCGTGTACCATAAAATGGCACTTTTTCCAACTCAGCACTAAATTTGTCTTCACACATCTTCTAAGCACTCTTCTTAAATTGTGAAGACAGTTCTCGAATGAATCCCCCACCACGGAGAAATCATCCATAAATACCTCCATAATGTCTTCAACCATGTCCGTAAAAATGGCTAACATACATCGTTGGAATGTAGCCGGTGCATTACATAGCTCAAAAGGCATTCTTCGAAAGGCAAAGATGTCATACGGACAGGTGAAAGATGTTTTCTCTCTGTCTTCGGGGGCTATTGAGATCTTATTGTACCCCAAATATCCAATCCACGAAACAGAAGTGAGATCGCCCCGCCAACCTGTCCAACATTTGGTCAATGAATGGAAAGGGAAAATGGTCCTTCCGAGTGGCTGTGTTCAATTTTTGGTAATCCATGCAAATCTGCCATCATGTGACTGTACGAGTCGAGATCAACTTGTTATTCTCATTTTGTACGACCGTAATTCCTCCTTTTTTCGGCACACACTGAAAAAGGCTGACCCAATTGCCGTCAGAGATGGGGAAAATGATACCCGCATCTAACCATTTGATCACTTCCTTCTTCACCACCTCTTTTATATTCGGGTTCAGCCTTTGTTGATGTTCTCTAGAAGGTTTGTGCCCTTCTTCCAAGAGAATCTTGTGCATACAAAAATCTAGGCTGATACCCTTTATATCCGCCATGGTCCAACCAATGGCAGTCTTACATTCCTGTAACACCTGTAGAAGTTACTCTACCTGCACAGCTAGCAAACCGGATGATATAATAACAGGTAAAGTAGAATTAGGCCCTAAGAAAGCTTAACTGAGGTGAGCTGGAAGCGGTTTTAGCTCCAGTCGGGGTGGTTCCTCTACCGATGGTTTTGCCGGTGGTGTAGCTCTCTTTTCTAACTCAAGGTACTCGAACTGAGGTTCCCTCTTCCAGAATCCTTGGCCTTCGAGTGCCATGACCCACTCTGCCAACCCTTCACCATCCATCTCCTCTAAATTTGTCAAGCAAGCTCCCAATGGATCTTTAGCATTCAGGATCTCATCATCTTCATGCAGGATCACATCTACTACCTCCACTAGGGAGCAATTAGCATATTCACTGGGTCTCCTTATGGATTGTTGAACGTTGAATATAACTTCTTCATCGTTCAACCTCATTTTTAATTCCCCAGTTTCACAATCAATCAATGTTCTCCCAATGGCTAAGAATGGCCTCCCTAGAATGATGGGTATCTCCTCATCTACCTGGTAATCTAGAATAACAAAGTCTGCAGGGAATACAAACTTTCCCACTTGTACCAACACATCATCAAGAATCCCTGTCGACCTTTTAACCGTGTGGTCAGCCAGTTGCAATAGCATCAAAATCGTTCTAGCTCTACCAATGCCCAGTTTTGTATATATTGCCAAAGGAATCAAGTTTATGCTGGCTCCTAAGTCACACAATGCTTTTGCAAAGGCATAACTCCCAATAGTACACAGAATAGTGAAGCTGCCTGGGTTAGACATCTTTTGAGCCATGGGTTTTGTCACTACTGCACTGCATGTCTGTGTCAGAGTTACTGTGGATAGGTCCTAAAAGTCAAATTTTCGTGACATTAGGTCCTTCATCATCTTTGCATAGCCTGGCATTTCCCTCAAAGCATCCATCAGAGGAATATTCAATTGAATTTGACAAAGCATCTCCATGAATTTCCTATATTGATCTTCTTTCTTTTGTTTTGCCAGTCTCTAAGGGAATAGTCCAGGTATCACCCTTTGTGCACTGCTTGTTGGCTTCTCTTTGTTGGGGTTTTGTGGCACAAGAGGTACCACATGTTTTGCAACTTGTTTACTCTCTTTAGCCTTACCCTTATCATCCTGAACCTATTCAACCACCAGTTCAGTAAGTTCTGTTGATTCATCTACCTCCAATGGAACTGGAGTGGCTGGCGTAGTCTCTCTGCTAGATTGCGCAACTTCTTGATCCCTGTCTAAATTTCTCCTATTCTGGAGACTTACTGCCATCAGCTGATTCGGGTTTTGCTCCTCGGGGTTAATGTTCGTATTGGCTGGCAATATTCCCTCGGGGCAGTTATTTAAGGCCATGGACAACTGCCCCAATTGAGTTTCAATATTCTTTATTGCTGAGTCATGCACTGCCAACATTTTCTGCATCTTACCATTTGTTCCAATGAGTTGTTGAAGCATACCCCTAATTTCTACCATGTTGCCATCCTGTTACTGAGGAGGTGGCTAATATGCCAACTGTTGCTGGTTCTGCTGTGGATAGCCCTGTTGTCTCTGATATGACACCATTTGGCTTTGGGGCTGCATACCTCCAGGTTGTGGCATGTTTGGTCTGTACTGCTGATTGGGTGATGGTCTCCACTGTTGTCCTCCTTGTCTCTGACCCCCAAAATTGTTGACATAATTCATATCCTCTCTTAACCCTTGGTTGTCTCCTTCTCCACTCCATGAACACACATAAGACTGATTAATGCAAGGTGTACACAGTCCTCCATTTGTCGTGTCAACGATGTGCACTTTCTTTGTACCCATCTTATCAATTTTCTTTGTCAATATACTCATCTGAGTCATGAGTATGGATATGTTCTCTACATGCGAATTATTTGGGTCAAGAGGAACTGAATGCACTATTAGTGTTAGGGTTGTACCTCTCGTCATCTACCCCGAATTCTGGGACATCTTGTCAAGAAGGATTTTACATTCTATGAATGTCTTGCTCAAAAATACACCCCCGGCTAAAGCATCTACATTGGCTTTTAAATTGTCTGCTAACCCCATGTAGAATCTCTGGCCGAGCATCTGGTCTAGAATACCATGGTGGGGACACTTCACTAGTATCCCTTTGAATCTTTCCCAAGTTTCCTGCAAGGTCTCAGTAGGTTGCTGCTTGTACTGCAATATCTCATCAATCTGTCTTGCAGTCTTGTTGGGCGGGTAAAACTTGTTCAGGAACTGCTTGACTAATTCCTCCCAAGTGATAATGGAATTTATTGGAAGTGAATTCAGCCAAGTCTGAGCTTCCCCAGTCACAGAGATCGGGAACAGTAACAGCTTGATGGCTTTTGGTGTCACATTTGGCTGCCTTTGGGTCACAAAAATTGACAGAAATTTTTTCAAGTGTTGTTAAGGGTCTTCAATGTGTGACCCGGAGAACAATCCTTTATTCTGCAGAAGATGCAGCATGTTATTGGTGATCTGGGATGTCTCTGCTTGTATTGGGGGCACATCAATGGCGGTGGCCAGGTTGTCAGCTGTTGGTTGTGCCCAATCATAAAGTGCAGCTTCTGGCACAAGAGGTGCCACCACTCTGACATTTGGGTCAGCTTGATCATCCCTGATATTTCCGTTGACGTTATCTACGTCGCCCATTTCAATTTCAAGTTTGTGTGTTTGTTGTGATTGTTTGTTCTTTTTGTTGGCACGATTTAATGCCCTGAATATTTTCTCGGGGTCTGAGAGTTCTTCAAGCAGTTCACCAGTCCTCGAAGAATCTCTAGGCATACACCTGAATCCCACAAGAGTTCAAACGTGAGAATTTCAATGAAAAAAATTATTTAACACCGTAGAAAATTGATCTAAATTAATAATTCTAGAACTACTTCTAAGTTGTAATAAATAACACCGTTAATTCCCCGGCAACGACGCCAAAATTTGATCACGCCCAACTATGCCTTATAAAAGACAAAGCGGTCGTTGCAAATATAATCCAGTTTTCAAGTCCGAAGTCGAATCCTCATGGAACTAACCTATCTATTACAACTCTTGGTGATGCTATTACAAGCTCAAACAATTTCCAGATGCAAGATTTTTATCAATAAATATTGGGTTTTTTGTTTAACTAAGTCAAAATGATATTAAAACTAACAATATTCTAAATCAAAGATAATTCAATGGTAAAAAGATTTAGGGTTTTGATTTCCCCAATTGCTAGTTTAAGTCTTAACTCTTTTGCTATAATCTCGTCGTAATACTCTATGAGGATTATAAGCTATGGGTTATCGCAATTATCTCTCGATCAACTACGATAATTTACTATAGCATTCTCTCGAACTACTCTAGCTGATAATTTATGCAGCTCTGAATTATCCCACCAAAGTTTCGTTATCTCTAACTCCACTTTTAAGTTCAAGTAATGAATCTCTTCAATTACCCAAAAGTGGTGTTGTTCAACAGCAGTCTAACTTAGTATTCTTTCTCAAGAAACACAAGGCAATTAGACACGATTAATCAAGGGCCCATTCAACTAATCACCATACAACACATAGTTGAACAATCATATAAAAAATCCGACTCGATTATAACAAAATTGAGTCAAAATTTCATCTAACAATTGGTTGCATCAACCCTAGATTAAATGTTTAGCTACTCATAGCAAAGCAAGATAAAACTACAAAAGTATTCATAATGTGCAATTGAAATAACAAAGAGAAGATAGAAAAACTCTAATGATTGGTTGCTCTTCTCACACTTGTTCTTGCCTCCAAATTAGTCTACAAACAAGCTTAACCTTTTGCTTGGGCGAGTTTGTTGAGTTTATAAAGGGTTGGGATAAGTTTCCCCCGATTTACACTTTAGTCCCACAATTTCTGGGCAGTTACACAATCGACCGCGGCCGCAGCAGAACACGGTGCGACCGCGGTGAAACGCAAACATTCTGCCTCGCTTTCTTGGCCTACCGTGGTTGACCACGGTCGCGGTGGCATTCAGCCCAGTCCTCCTTTTTCCTCTTCCTTGCTTATTTTCGCTCGGGTGCATCTTGATTGGCCTTTTATCCACGTTATTGACTACAAAATACTTCATAGTCTCTTCCTAACTTGGATTAGTCCCTGCGAAGCAAAAGAACACCAATTAGAGTATTTTGTTATCATTTAGCCTTCAAAACAACAATAAAGCATGATATATTTAAAGTGTAAATATCGTCTATGTAGCCTATTATCATTAAAAATGGATAATTAAGTGGGATTTATTGTTGGCCTGCCTAACGGTATTGTTGAGTGCAATCACGACCTATTGTGGAATTTTGATTGTGACAATTACTCTCTATTTCAATACACAATATTATTTTAAATGAACTAAACTTTTCAACTTTTAATCTTTGACAAATTATTTTTTTCTATCAAACTACTTTTAACTACTACCTTATAATTCTTTATTGTCATTACTAATTTGATGTAAGCCAAATCAATATTGAACTTCAGATAATGCAGATCCGAATTAGTCTGGTTCCAATGCGATATCAACTGAGTGGAAACAAAAAGGAATCTTTACCTAAATAGTTAGTTTGATTTAAAGTTTAATTCTGCTAGTCATATGGATTATACATAGTTATACACATAGTATATACTCCTTCTGATCCGCTTTAATTAATTTTTTGGCATTTTTTTTGAAGTCCACAATATTTAATTTTTTTAAGATATCAAGAAGGAATTAATTTCTTAATTTCAAAGTTGCCCTTGGACTAAAGTGTCACGCCCCAAACCTGGGGAGGCGTGGCTAGCACTCGGTGTCGTACTGGCCCGAGTGAACCACTTTATAACTTTTTTTTCTTTTGTAACTATCATGGGCCAACATGGCCACAACTCATAATGTATAACTATAAGTGAGAAAATACTGTGTCAATAAATTATCATTCTTAAAACATGAATATATATGGGCCGTTAAGGCCTCTGACATACTGTACAAAATGAACCTCTGTCTACAAAGCCTCTAAAATTATTCGACATCAAATGGAACAGGGTACCGGCCTACCCGTAAGTCTGTAGTAAAACTCTAACACGATGACTTATAGACTCGGCTGCACTCTGAATGAGGTAGAGTCTTACTGTAATAACCCGACTGGCCGTTTGGAGCAATAGTTCCCGGTTCGGCAGTTTGAGGTCTCGATAAGCTTCATAATATGTGTATTGACTTGCATGCATGGTTTAAATAAGTTAACCGATGATTCAGAGTCAAATTGGAAGGAGAAAACTAGTTTTGGAAGTTTAAACGGTGAGAATTTGACCGGAATTAGAATTTTGGGTAAACGGCCCCGGAATGGATTGTGGGTGATCTCAATAGCTTTGTATGGTGATTTTGGACTTAGGCGCACGTCCGGATTCGGATTTGGAGGTCCGTAGGGTAATTTGAGGCGTTTCGGCAAAAGTTCGAAAAGTTGAAGTTTGGAAAATGGAGAAGTTTGACCCATAGTTGACTTTTATGATATCGGGGTCGAAATGCGATTCCAAGAGTCAGCTCCTTTATGTCATTTTGGACTTGTCCACAAAATTTGGCGTCATTCCAGGTTGATTTGATAGGTTTCGGCACGAGTTTTGGAAGTTGGAAGGTTTGAAAATTCCTAAGTTCGATTCTTGGTGTGATTCGTTGTTTAGGCATTGTTTGATGTGATTTGATACCTCGAGCGAGTCCGTGTTCGGTTATATGACTTGTTTGTGTGTTTGGACGGGGTCCCATGGGCCTCGGGTGTGTTCCGGATGGACTACGAGTCATTTTCCTCCTATTTTGAACTGCTGAATCTTTCATCTGGTTTCCTTCATCGCGTTCGCGTCCTTGCCTTCGCGTTTGCGTAGTGTTACTTTAGAAGGTGAGTTATTTCTTCTTCGCATTCAACCTCTCTCATTCGCGAAGGTCTTCCCTCTCCTCCTTCGCGTCTGCAGCCCCTCTATCGCATTCGTGCAGTAGAAATTAGGAGCTGGAGGCTAGTGGTTATTTCTTCTTCGCGTTCGCATTATTATTCTCGCGTTCTCGTAGCTTCTGTTTCTTACTCTTTGCGAACGCGTCCCTTCACTCGCGTTCGCATAGGGACTTTTTGGCAGCCTCATTCTTCTCTTCTTCGCGAACGCGAGCCCTTCTCCGCATTCGCGATGCTTTAAGAACTGGGCAGAATAAATAGTACTCTATTCCGAAGGTTTGCCATTTTCACCATTTTTGGAGTTCTAGAGCTCGGTTTTGGGCGATTCCTTGTGGGTTTTTCAAGCAAAATGATTGGGTAAGTATTCTTCACCTAGAATTGATTATATTCCATGCATTTGTCTTCATTTTTATCATTTAATTTTTGATTTGTGTTGAGGAAAATGTTGGTTATTAAAGAAAATTCCTAAAATGAAAAATTATGATTTGATGGGCCAAATGGTATCAGAATTTAATAACTTTTGTATAGTTGAACTCATATTAGAATAAGTGTTCGGTTTTTATAAAATTTG